ATGGTAACTCTGGCATGGTTTTTGATACATGCAGTAATGTTAAACTCAATAGTTTTACTATTGAACACTGTGGGTATAAAAATGGACAAATTTATCCTGGGCGTCAAAGTGTTCTCTTTTATAGTTGCAAAACTTTTCAAGTTTTAAAAGTCAACTTCAGTGACAATAATGGTTATGGGCTGGTACTCTATGAAAGCAGCGGTGGATATGTAACACAAAATATTTTTACAAACAATGGTATAAAACATTCTGATCTTTCAAGAGCTGAGAAATCAAATGCAACAGGAGGAGGCCTACATATACTTCAATATAATCTTTATAATAATACAATTAGAATTGTTGCTAATCAGTTTATTAATAATTCTGCTACAACCATTGGTGGTGCGTTGCATCTAGATTTAGGTAGCTGTGCAGACTTACTTTTGAACATTGCTGCTTCAAGTTTCATTGGAAATAGAGCAGATACTGCTGGAGGAGCCATTGGGTTTATAGTACATAAAGGTATATGCAATTACAATGGCACAATACCTTTTGGATTTCACATTTCTCTACTTAGCTGTAATATCACCAATAACATGGCAAAGTTTGGTGGAGGAGTTGCAATCCAAATTGTTCATTATGAGGCTTTATTCGACGTTGATAATAAGGAAAAGAAAATTATATTTAATCTTTGTCGTTTCACTGGCAACAAAGGTATGGTTAGCTCAGCAGTAGATATCAATGGTAAAAGTCAAAAAGTTAATCAGTGTCTTGACACCTATGTAGACTTTCATTTTTGTTATTTTACTGAAAATATTGCAGGAATAGATAATAATCAACAGGAACTTAGAGGTAAACTGTTCAAAGCAACATTTTATGCTACTGATGCTATTGTTTTTATTGTCAGTCACCTTTTATTTGCCAATAACACTGGTACAGCTTTTTATGCAGTAAATAGTCGTGTATATGTCTCAAGCCGTGTCCATATTAATTTTTATAACAACACTGGAGATCAAGGTGGTGCTATTTTCTTTGCAGATGGTTCAACATTTGACTATGATGATCGTACAACTAATATATTAACTTTTATAGATCTTTCAAATAATAAAGCTCTCATTGGTGGTGCAATATACATCCAATCACTGATTAATAAACATGAAGGAACATGCTTTATTTCTAAACATCATAATGTTACATTTCATTTTACTAACAACAATGCCTCCAGTGGATTTGGTCATGATATTTTTGCCTCTACACTTCAAGATTGTGTTACATTGTATGGTGGAAATGCTACAACATTATTTAAAGCTGGGAAAATGGGCAAATTTGAATTTTCATCATGGACACCACCTCCAGTTGCTACTGCACCAGTTAAACTGTCAATAAATGAGAAAGAGCTAGCTCCTTATCCTGGAATATCATACAACATGACTATAACACAAATGGATGAACTTGATAGCACCATAACAAACTTGCAATTGTTCCCATTGTTAGCAACACTACAAAATGTACACAATAATTCATCATTGAAGATTGATATAGCTTATTCCATTGCTGACAATTACATAATAGTCTTTAAAGGGACAGTAGGAGATACAGCTACTTTATTACTGCAGACAACTGAGTACAGTGCTAGAAAACTGATCAATATCACACTATATCACTGCCCTCCAGGATACACATTTCATATCAATACTTGTCAGTGTAACAGTAACTACTACTATGGAATATCAGGTCGTTTAGAAGATAATGCAGCAATCATTGATGAAGGACTTTGGGCTGGATATATAGGAGAGAAATTTGCAACAGCAGATTGTGTGTCAAGTCTATGCGATTATCATAACTCTAAAGGTAGCAGACATGAAGATCGTGTACTTCCATTAAATTACAGTTTCTTAAATGATCATGTTTGTG